TATGGAAGGCAGTATGGCGCTTTCTCAAAAAGTTGCAAATAGAGATACCATTTGACCCAGCAATTCCACTACTGGGAATATACCCGAAAGAGACCATAACTGACATCCAAACAGATATATGCACACCCATGTTTATCAGGGCTTTGTTCACAATAGCAAGGAGTTGGAAACAATCTAAGTGCCCAACAACAAACGAATGGATAGAGAAGCTGTGGTACATCCACACAATGGAATACTACGCTGAGTTGAAAAACAAGGAACTCATGCAGTATTATTCAGAATGGATGACCCTGGAAGACATTATGCTGTGGAAAGTATCTCAGTCACAAAAGGACAAAAACTGTATGGTTACCACTGTTGTAAAACAGGACTGACCTTGGGGTTGGGGGGAGACTGAGAAAGATGAGTTCAATAATGTGTACTGCATTGAAACAGATGAGGGAGAAAACTGTTTAAAAGGGATATGCGATTAGGTATTTTTGTCATGACAGGAGTCCAGAGCGAAGACTGCATAGTGGAGTGGACTTGGGGGGAAGGAGTGTAAAACAATGAAAGAATTTTACTTTTCCAAGAGGGGAGTGTACTAAGGGGGACGGTGGGGAAGGGACAAAAGTCCAACAATGAATGAATGGAAATCCAAAGTCTCAGTAAATTTTCATTGAAATTAATAATAAATTTTTAAAAAGTCTTTGATGTTTAGTAAGTTAACAAAAGTGCAAAACAGTTTTGTTTAATGTGTGCAAAAAAGAGTCCTAATTGAAGCATAGAATAGCTGTGAAAGATGTTGATTCCTGGATGCCTGTGGAGAAGGGAACTGGGTGGCGTGGAAATAAGATTCCTTGTTGCTTCAGAATGTGAAAATTTAATAAAATTGAAAGTTCACTTACAAATGAGTAAATACTTTCAAAGGCCACATCTTGGCATGCCAAGCCTTTTTCATGTGTATCTGTCCCTCCCCTCCCACTTCTCTACCCTGCACCCCACTGACTGTGGTGTGCCCCCCCCTACTTTCCCAGCAGCTCTTGGTTCGAGATGGGGTCCCAGGTCTCAGTGGAAGAAGTGCGATCAGTGCATGTGGTGATCGTCGGCGGGGGCTTCGGTGGGATTGCGGTGGCCAGTCAGCTCCAAGCACTGAATGTCCCCTTTACGCTGGTGGATATGAAAGACGCCTTCCACCACAACGTGGCAGCCCTCCGGGCCTCAGTGGAGAGTGGTAAGATTTTCCCTTTCTAGAACTTTCTTCATGAGAATGGTCTTGATTGGGCTCATGGGGTGTGATTTCATGAGCTGGGCACAGTTTTCTCCACTCAAATCCCACTAATGCCATCAAAGGGCCCCAGAGCTTCTCTGAGTAGTCCAGGGACAGCCAGTCCTTTAGAAGGTGGCCAGCGATGGTCCTCTTGGTGTGCTCAGGAAAGGTTCTAGAATGTTCTGGCCTTTCCTGGTAGACCTGGTAGCCTCAGATCTGCACTGTCACCTTTTCTGTGTCCATCTTCCAGGGTTTGCAAAGAAGACATTCATTTCCTACTCGGTGACTTTCAAGGACAATTTCCGGCAGGCCATGGTGGTCGGAATCGACTTGAAGAACCGGACAGTCCAGCTGCAGGGAGGTGAGGTGAGTGGCCAGTCCATCGGCTATCTTGTGGCTTCTGAAGGACGTGCTGCCTGTTGTCCAGAGCACCTCTGTTGGCTGTGACCTCTGAGCCCAGGGCTGGGCAGATTGCAGGTTTCCATAAACGAAGACTTGACCACAATTGCCTCAAGACTGTGATGGTAGATAATTTCCTGAGCCTTTCCTGTGTCATGCACTCTTCCAAGCATTCATTTGAAAGTCACTGCGACCCTGTGAGAAGGGGATATAACCTCATTTTATTGAGATGAGAGGCTTACCAGAGATCCCCTAGCTACTAAGAGATTAAGCCAAGATTTGAACCTGTGTAATCTCACCCCAGAGCTCAGCCTCTGAAAGCCAGTGTCCCTACACCAGCACCAGGGCCTGGTCAGCCCAGAGACCACCTTTGCTGTATAGAGTCAAAGGTTAGGCCAGTGGCCAGGACTGTGTGGCCGTGCAACCTGGAACTGGAGTTTGCTTGGAGCAGAGGGTTTGTTTTTCATACTTGGCTGTTTTCATCCCTCCTGGTGAGTGGCACCAAACCAGACTCTATTGCCAGCAAATCGATTCTGACTCATGTAGTCCCTGTTGTGTTACCAAGTAGAGCTGCACTCCGTAGATTTTTCTGGGCTTTCCAGAGGCAGGTTGCCAGGCCTTGCCTCCACGATCCTACCTGGTGGGAACATACTGCCAGCCTTTGGGTTAGAAGTTGAGTGAGAACTGTTTACGATGCTCAGGGGCCTTGTGTATGTCTCAGGACCTGCCTTGTCCTCCCCGCACTGACTGGAGCCCCATCAGTGAGTTTCTGCTTGACCCACACACCTCCTGGCCCAGCCGCTGACCCTGCATTCAGAGATAAGACGCAGACTCAGCTCACTGCCTTCCAGTAGGAACTGAGTCACAGCTGACCCTCCAGCAGGTTTTCGGAGGCTGTTAATGACACAGGAAATTGCTCATCTTTCTCCTTTGGAGTCACTGGTGGGTTCAGACTACCAGAGGCGAAGCCTTTGAGTTAGCGTGACTCCCTGTGAGCTGTACCGCCAGAACTCCCTTTCAGAGGTAAGGAGAATCGACACAGAAGGAGAATCCCACTCTTAATGAGTATGCAACTTAATGTCTGTACACTCTCAGGTCTTGAGCTCTGGTCGTCGAGTGGTTAAGGCAAGCGGTTTGAATCCACCAGTTGTTCGGTGGGGGAAAGATGGGCCATCTCCCGTGTGGTTTGCAGCCTCTGAAGACCTGCTGGAGGGTAAAGTTAATTTTAGGGCTGAAGGATTTCCAGGTTGAAAAGGTTCCTGAGGGTCCCCTCATCTCATGGTAGTTCCTGGCCCTGATTTTCAGTGTCCTGGGTGATGGGCAGGGATGGGCTTCCTGAGGGCCTGTCAGGCCTCTGGGGGCAATGAGGACTGAGCGGGCCCAGAGCCTCTGCTCCTTCTACCAGAACACCTCTGCTCTGACCAGTATTTTACATTTAGGCTCAAAACAAGATTGTTTTTCAGTGGGGGTAGGTATTGGGAGAACGAGTCTTGAAAAAAAATCCCAGCAATCCTGCTCTACCACTGTTAGGATTATACCCCAAGGAAATGAGAACTGAGACACAAACGGAGATTTGTACACCAATGTTCATAGCAGCGTTATTCAGCATTGCAAGATCATGGAAACAGCCCAAATGTACCACAATCTAATGGATTGAGAAATTGTGGTACATTCACAAAAGAGAATACTACACAGCACTCAGGAGCAGAGATTTTGAAAAATACTACAAAACATGGGAGAGACTGGAGTGTATTATGCTGAGTGAACTAACACAGTCTCATAAGGATAAACACTTCCTAAGACCATTATAATAAAAATAGAAGGATAACAAGTAAAATGTGTATGAAAGTCCAAGAGGAGAAAGGGAGGAAGCAGAGGGGTGAGCATGGTCAGGGGGAAATGACGGGGTTGTACAGACTGGTGGGCTGAGGGAGGGGATGAAGGAAATGGGAAAGATCCAGTGGGGACCTGAAAAGACAGGGTAATGGTGCGTATAGTTCCATGGCTGGTGATTCATTTTATAAAAAACAACATGTGGGAATAGTTTGATGAAACACAATGTGAATGAAGGAACATGTGCAATGCAATGTATATGAATTTTATGTGGATATCAATATAAAATGAAATTTTTAAAAGAAGGACCCAGCAGATTCTAAAACAGCTCCACATTAATAATCTGGGATCCTGCTTATTCCCAAGTCATTTTCAGTTCCATACTTTCCTCTTGCCTGTGTTGGGAGCTCACCTTCCCGTTTTCCACATAGGATGGTTCTGGTCACTCCGGTCTCCCCCCAGGCAGAATCCTCAAGTTTTAGTGACACCTCTATGTGCCAGAGGGGCCACTTCCACTCGATGCTCCATGGTCAGTGGGGGGCAGGTACTGAGGCAGAAGCCCAGGCCTCCCCTCCCCTACCCACCCCTGACCCTTCTTGTCCTCATAGGCGCTGCCCTTCTCACATCTCGTCCTGGCCACAGGCAGCAGTGGGCCTTTCCCTGGCAAGTTTACTGAGATTTCCAGCCGGCAGGCCGCCATCCAGGCCTACGAGAACATGGTGAGGCAGGTAAGTTGGCTGACCGACCGGGGTGGTGGTACTTCTGGGAGAGGCGGGGGGCTGTGTTGACTTTATGAGGAAGAGACGTCCTGCAAGAGGACCCGTGGACCTGTCATCAAAGCCTGGAAATGAGTCCCTAGACCGGCTTACATTGCTGTCCCAGACTCCCTCCCATTGAGCAGGGCTTGTGTTGGGAGACACACTCTTCTCAGGAATTAACAGGTAAGGAACTCCAGAGGGAGCGCTCATGAGGAATGCTATTAAAGACAGAGGCCAGGACTCTCTGAAGAGTGCCTGAGAGGCCCTTGTGTAGGCATGAGCACACGCAAGAATGTTAGGAACCTGACTTTGGATTTAGGCTTTGGTGGTGCTCATCAGTCAGATGGGCTGTTGTGGGAATCAAATGGGAAGGCTCAGGGGAAACCCCTATAGATGCCTGGCCCTGAAGAAGCAAGTTTGGACCCTGCACTTGGAAAGGGAATTCTGTGTTCTCTGGCCAAGGAGCACACATCCCAGCTCACCCAGGAACTAGAGTGAGTTTAATATTTCCTTTTCCTCCCCCAGGTCCAGAGTTCAAAGTTCATCGTGGTGGTGGGAGGAGGCGCTGCAGGAGTGGAGATGGCAGCAGAGATTAAAACAGACTATCCTGAGAAAGAGGTAGGGCAGCTGGCCTTGGCTTTGAACCCTAAGTGCTTGGCCTATTTCTCCCTCAGAGCTGCTGGATGGGTTCCAGCTGTCAGCTGAGTGCTTAACTGTTTGGCCACCAGAACATTTCCTGAAAGAAAACCCTGTGGACCAGTTCTGCTGTGTAATATATGAGGTTACCATGAATGAGAGCCAGCTTTGTAGTTGTCATTGTTGTGTGCTGTCGGGTCAGAACCAAATCATAGCTGAGTCTCCTTTGGGTTTTCAGAGGCAATAAATCACACAGAAGGAAATTGTTCATCTTTCTCTCTCAGAGCAGCTGTTGGATTTGAACCATGTTCTCATAGATTGGCAGCTCAATTCCTTGCCACCAGAGCTCCCTGATTCCGTGTGATGTTGTTGTTGTTAAGTGCTGTTGACTCGACTACGACTCAGCAACCTATGAACAATGGATATGAACCCTGTTCGATGCTGTGCCTCATCTTATCTGACACACTTGAGCCCACTGCTGCAGCCACTGTGTCAAGCCATCTCACTGAGAGTCTTCCTCTCCTTTGTTGAACCTCCTCCTTTCCAAGCATGATGTCCTTTTCCAAGGACTGGCCCTCCTAACAAGATGTTCAAAATATGTAATACGAAGTTCCACTATCCTTGCTTCCAAGGAACACCCAGGCTATACCTTTTCCACAACGAACTTGTTTGGGGTTTTTTGGCAGTCCATGGGATATTCAACACTCTTCTCCAACACGACAACTCAAAGACTTCTCTTGTGTCATCCTTAGTCATGGTCTAACTTACAGCTGCATAGCAAGTAATTGAAAAGATCATGGTTTGGATCTCTGTTCTGTAGCACTTTGGAGAGGTCCCTGACAGTAGATCTTCCCAATGCAATACATATTTTTTTTTCTCCTGTATCTAAGGATGTTAATTTTTATTTCCTGCAAGATGAAGTCACTGACAGTTTCTGTCTCTTCTCTATGGTGATGTTGCCTGTTGGTGTAGTGGTGAAGGATTTTGGTTTTTTTGATGATGAAATGAACCCATATGAAAGGGAGCATCATGTATTCATTGACATAGTCTTGATATTCTGCAGCCAGCACTTCATGTCATCCTCACATTCAGCGAGCAAGAGTGTGTCATCTGCACAGAGTAGGTTGTTGATGATACCACAGCATCCAGTCATACATTCTTCTTCCTGAAGTCCAGCTTCTTGAATGCTTTTTTCAGCATATACATTGGAGAAAGGATACAGCCCTGATGCACATCTTTCCTGATTTTAAACTGTGGAATATTCCCTTGCTCGACTTGGACCGTAGCTTCTTGGTTTAGGTACAGGTTTCACATGAGCAAAGTGTTTTGGGGTTCCCATTCTTCTCAATGTCAGCCATAACTAACTTGTTATGCTCCACACAGTCAAATGCCTTTGCACAGTCAATAAAGCACAAACAGACATTCTTTTGGTATTCTCTGCTCTCTACCCAGATCCTGCTGACATTAGTAGTGATGTCCCTTTGATTACCTTTCCTTGTTGACCACTGAAAATGCCCTCCAGCATCTCCAGTTAGTGATTTTTCTGGCACAAGCCGTGTCCTTTTCAGTCTTTGTCTTCTATAGCCTCAGACCAGCCTTATTCCTTGTTTTGGATCCACACTGTGGTCGCCTGCCTGTGAGAGGAGGGGAGTCTGCAGTCAGCCCCTTGGGTGCCTGTGCCGGGAAAGGACTGACTGACACTACCTACTGCCCACAGTGGATGCCATGGGCCTGCTTTGTTTCCCTGTGACACTCCATTCTAGAACCTGGCAGCTCTGGAGGGAGAGAGGAAATTCTGGCATGATGGTAAGATTTGGTGGAGGGCTGCATAATGATCAGTAATCATATAGCTACTAGACAGAAGCTAAGAAAGTAGCTCTTGTAGTAGAGTGGTTGGTTAAGTGCTTGCCGGCTAACTGAAAGGTTAGTGGTTCAAACCCACCAGCTCGTCTGTGGGAGAAAGATGTGACAGTCCGCTTCTGGAAAGATATCCCCCCTTGGAAATCCGGTGGGCAGTTCTGTTCCGTCTCCCGGGCTTGCTTGAGTTGGCAGTGTGGAGTTGTTTTCAAGCAGGAGTTTGCTCACAGCTAAAGCCAGATCAGCTTCTGAGAGCTCCTTGGAACCTGAAAAGAAAAATCGATAGAGGTGAATTTAATTATGCAGTTGTTTTCTGATAAATTGTTGAAAATGACGAGAAGTGATTGATAGAAAGTTTCTTCATTTTGATTTATGGGCTAAAGACCAGTCCAAAACAATAAATAATTCCAGTGCCTCGTATACTTTTCTTTCTTTCTTTCTTTCTTTCTTTCTTTCTTTCTTTCTTTCTTTCTTTCTTTCTTTCTTTCTTTCTTTCTTTCTTTCTCTCTTTCTCTCTTTC